AAAATATTTGCATGCTGCCTTAAATACAAAATTTCAAAGTACCTACAAACTTTAAAATTGTTGTTATGACAATTTTTTCTTAGAAGTTTTAAAAAGAACTTTCTTTTTATCCTTTTCTTGTATTGATTGTTTCATAAAAACATTCTAAAAGAATTGCTGATTTTAACCCTGCTTAATCCGAGCGTAGACCGACCTTTAACTGACCGTCCACCATTTATCTGGCCCATTGTATCTCGACAGGTAGTCAACGAAGATACGTTGGTTTTTCCGGCGAAATTCCGCATTTTGTTTAATTTTTATGTAAAAAACTAATAAACCGATATTTGATTGTGAGGTATCGTTGAATTCGTATTGTTTTATTCTTTCGAAAGATACCATAATATACTGGGTGTTCCATTTAAAAAAACAAAGCTGTTCCATTTTCCGGAAAAACTAAAAGTGATACCAAAATTTTCCATAAGAAAATATTTGTGCTGATAAAATATAGAAACTGACGTTTTTTTGTTCATATTGATATCTCAATCTGTTCAGAAGTTAAACAGGGGGGGGGTTACTTTACGCTAGCACTGTATAATAACTTTATAACAACCTTGTGTAGTTGTTACTTACATGTAAGAAAAAATAAAATTATGCAAGACAATTGATATAACACTCTTAATTCATAACAAGAAATAAAAACATAATCGAAAAAAATCTAAACACAAACTTTACATTAATAAAGACTAAAATAATAGATACAAGAAAATCAAAACACAAAATTGACACAACACACTTAATGAGATACTTGCGCCTGTTTGCTAGAACACAGAAATTTAACGTTAGGTTCAATGTCTGACAGTTTCAGTCTTAAATCAGGTTCTGCATTAAATCTGTTTTTGTTGAAAGATAAATATCTTTCTAGTAACTATATCTGGAAAATCCTTTCTCACATAGATATGTTGTGCAAAAAGGTAATAAAACGTTGGTAGCTTTTTCTGACAAATAGCGTATTCATTTCCAATACTGAGCCAAAAGTCTATTAAAGAGTTGTCTTTAAAAATCCCTTTTAAGGAGCTATATCGGATAACTCAATAAGTTTTTTTTGCAGTAAAGTTAGAGAGATCTCCAAATTTAGATCTTTTTGGAAAGGATTACATATCCAATCATTCTGAATTTTCGAATAAAAAGCTGCTGAGAGAACTAAAATAATGTACTCATTCATCTACAGCCATTGGATTCAAAAGTTAAACTTTTTTAGCATGGATTCAATTGTATCATGCACACCAAAGATTTAATTTACAAAAAATATCGGCTAAATATGCAAGCTTTTGCAGCCAAAGAATGTCAGATAGACAAGAAGATAAATGAAATGGATGGTCAATAAGAAATGCTTGAACTTCAGATTTTAACTCAAACGGGCGTGTCAAAACTTTGCCACGGGAAAGCCATCTAACTTTCGCGTGAAGTAATAAGGAAACGTGATGGATTCCAAAGTCTTCACAAAGCGCATGAAATAGACAGTAGGAATATTCTGTAGGAATACGCTTACATGCCAATGCTAGTCTATATATACAGCAATGTGTCCATTCAATTGTTTCGTTGATCTTTTTTACCCGTGCCACAAAACCAGAAAAATTTCCTGTCATTGATTTTGCACCATCTGTGCACACATACATACAATAAGACCAGTTTATTCAATTTTTTTCAAACCATTTCAAATATTGCTTCTCCAGTTGTATAAGTTTTTAAGGGTTTTGCAAAGAGTACATCTTCCTGAATGGAATTCTCAAAAGTGTATCTAACATGCACAAGCAATATTACGGCGTTTGCTACATGGTCGACTCGTCAAGCTGGATTGCAAAATAATGCAATTCAATTCTTTTCAAAAGCTCATTCTTCACATTACTTGCCATATCATAAATTCTACACAAATAATACAGTGTCTATTATTTGATAAAGAAACTAGGTCAATTTTTTTTTATGCCTTTTTAATCATTAATATGTGGCTACTAAACACGTTATAAAATTGCATATTTTATTAAAAAGCAAAATAAATTATTAACCTTTCATATAATGATTTTTATACCTTTATTTTATATACGTATTTTAATATTTTTAATAATAAAAAATGTCATGATAGAAAAGAGCTTAAGAAGTGCTGTGTTAATTTGATTAGCTCTTTTCATTGGAGTGGAAAGCAATTTCCCGAAATCGATCACACGTCATTTCCACACACTATGAAAAGAATCTTGAAGGAATCGAGTATTTTCATTCCCTATCATTAAAACGATAAGAGAAAGTTCAATGGTACGCTTACCTCTTCGGATATTGCTCCCGGAAATCTAGGATCAAGACTATCGCTAGACAAATGGATGGGTTCTAAAGTTCTTGCGACATACGAAGGAACGGTAACCCCATTTTTAACTTTGTGAATTTTGATCTCGTCATGCTCGGTTTTATCTTCAGGTCCTAAGTATAAGCAAAGTTGGTCTCCATTATTTTTATCTGGGATATGTAATCTGAAATAAGTTTAAAAAATTGAAAAGAACTTTAAAGCATAGATTTCAAATAAACGGTAGTTGGTTGAGAGTTTTAAAGCTGTCGCGTCGATTCGTTACACTTCAAACTTCAAAAGAATAGAAACGTTTCAGTTTACACTTCAACAGAGAACAATCAAAGACATCAATAAGTTTCATTTAGTCTATTTTGTTTCAAAACTTTGAAGTTTCGAACATTACGTGATATTAATAATTTAAGTTTGCTTTACATTTAAAACGGAAATTAGTGGGAGAAAACTCTACGGAAGAGCTGAATAAGCAATTCCATTTGATGACCCGTTAATTGATAGAGTGGTTAAGCGTGCTTGAACAAAAATTAAATTACTAATATATTTTCAGTGAGAAAAATACTACTCAAAATTTTGTAATCAACATTTACGTGTCGAATTAGATATGGTCTGGTGCACATCTTAATGAAACAGGGTGAATTCGCACGAATACACCTGTTGTATGAAAATTAGGAAGACAAATTTACACTTTAATTGATTTTAATTTGGATTTACCGTAATTTTATCTGATTATTACTTGATTTATTTGTCAATATGGTAAAGAACCAGTTTAGATAGTTACGTAAACTATATGCAAACCCAATTCAGCAACTCTACACCCAGCGGTATCAGTTCGTATATTTTACCATAAATGCATTTGAAATCGCGTATTTAGATAGGACCTCCAAAGAGAACTTCATTTCGCATTCTTTTGTAGCGGAAGGTTCATGCAACCTATACATGGTGCAGTGATCTGGCGCCTTTTGATATTATTAAACTAAAATGATCCGCCGAGGAAAACTTCCTTGTTTGTTTACTTACCTAAAACCGTCGACACCAACCGCCGAGGAAATGCAATTTGCAAGTTCCCATAACACATGATCTTTTTGCGGGTTCAATTGTAAACTGTGAGTTAGATCTTGGAGCATTTGTCGTTTATCTGCGTGAACGCAAAACTTCCATCTCGATAAGCTTGTTTTTCGGTTGTTTTTAGAGCACGACCCGGTTTTTTTCTTCAATCTTTGAGATCTCCTTATTATCCATCGTTCCAATTGTTCCAATTCCACTTCCTCCGTCACATAACGTTCCAAAAAATCTGGATGCAAACGCAAAAACTCCGATACTTGATCGGCTGTAAAAAAATATAACTTATTAAAGTTTAGAATTCAATTAGTGAGTAGTTAATTAAAATTTGTGTTCAACTCCGAAACCAATTAAAATAACGTTTTTGTTCTTATCTTAAGTGAAACTTGAAAGAAACAATTTTACGCATCGAAACATCAAAAGTTCAAAACATAGATTCTCAAATCCTAAACTCCCAAACCAACAATAAAAAGCTACTCATGTTTACTATTTGAGATTGAACGTATAGTTTGAAATCGATTTTGAAATTTTATTTGAGTTATTGTTTCAATCCGAACTAGAATGTTATACAACCTGTAACGTGTGCTGGTGGCATTGTTGGTGGAGACGTGGAAACTGGAGTGACATCGTTCCTCATTTGAGCTCCTAAAATTATAAAAAAAAAGCTTTCAGCAACAATAAACTCTAATGTATTGAAAAACCAATAAGTGGATACTTTAAGAAAAGAAATTCGTTCCGGCTTCGAAGAATAGGTTACGATTACATAAAATCCTTTTCAGCAACGGATAAATTTTGAACGTCAATCTTTTAAAAACCTTCCCGTAAAAACCGTTTTACGATGCGCGTTATGGTTTATTGCAAAGCGAAAGACTATCTCCGCGGAAATTTTCTGCAGATAAAATTTATGTTTCCACCAAATGTCAAAGCTTTGGTTTCATCAAAGGTCACGCGGCGTTTAGTTTATAGCGTTCCAGATAACCGAGGTAATGACCCTTACCTATTTTACTAGCCCACACTGCTTCCAGTTTAATGTTCGCACAAATTATATCTCTATACATGATTACGAATTGTTACGTACATGAAAGACATTTAAAACGAGGAGATTTAATTATTTTCTAAAATGGGGAGTTTTATTACTACGTTTATTATTATGGGGTTATGGCACGAAATCTAGGGGATTTGTAAAGAAAGTTTGTTTACTTTTTGGAAACTTTGTGCAAGTTTTTAACATAAGCTTCTCTTAAATGTGGAAAGTTTCGAGTCGCTCATTACCATAATAACACATAGAACGAAATTACTAAATCTGCAAACCCTTTGAGAAAAAATACTTTTGTTGAAAATAATTTGAAATAACAAGTTGTTTTCCACAACATTTTTTCTTAAGAATCATTAAATGTTAGATTTTCAAGGTTAAATAAAACAATTTGTTCCCTTGAAGCGAATGTAATTAAACTCGTTGTAACTTGTTCTGGAGGGAGAGTTGTTTGTTTACAGGGACGAAAATAAATACTACTCGCTTCTTCTGTTCGTTTCCGTACATCAATTAATTAAGATGCGATAGGTTGGTGTTGCGCCAGAAATAAGATAGAGAAATCTGTTGCTGTTGAAAGTTCGTCGAGTCTTTTCTCTGATAACAGTTAAATTTGTGCCTAAGTCAAAGGAACGATTTTTTTTCAAATACTCTTGCTAAATTTTTTTATTAGCTATCTATTATGAAACAAATTTGATAAATTTAAAAAAGTTTTATTATTAAAGAATTGAAAAATAAAAATTTATTGTATTACGTGAGCAACGAAGTCTGTTGTTAACATAACGTCAAGCACAGAACTACAAGCTTACGTAATGCCATAAATCATTATTTTTGTATAAAAGAAATATTATAGGAACTATTCTTGTTTGAAATCCACAATATATCGTTAACTTGAATTGACGACTTAAATCAAATTAAATGATAAATGTTTGACCAAAGTTAACGATTAATGATAGTTCAAATGGATGTTAATGAAATGGATGATCTGAAACTAGAATAACAAACTTGAGATTCAAAAACTCTACTAGTTGTGTTTGTAATTGTCCAGAATTTAGTTTTGACTGCAAAGCGCATAATTTGGACAAGTGTGTTCGCAATTTCTGGTTCAAAAATACAAATCCGAAATGATGTTTGAAAGGAGATATTTGTTCTGTAATTGTAGTAAAACACAGAGGCATAAAAAAATCGGTAATTGAAGGCCGATACAGCAGAGTGTTAATTGTTTATATTGTGATTGCGTTGCAATGGGAATTTCCAGGGATCGATAGTAAAATATGTAAATTGGCAAACAACTCTATCAGAGAAACAAAAACCTAAAAGGATAAAAAAAATGTTGTTTTGTTAAGATGAAAATTGGTTGCGAACGTAGAAAAAATAGATTGATGGTAGTTTAAGTCGTCAAAATAGTGTTTGATGTCATATTTTGGGCAATGGTCAGGATGGGACCAATCATGATTTGGAAAGGCAAAATTAGTTAGGTTGGTGTTCTATGTATTTGGAATTTGTGTATTTCTATGATGACGGTTGATTGGATGTATTTTGATTGTATTTCGATTACATTGTTTCTTAAATATCAATTAATACCATTAAATTCAACACACCTGCATTATGCTTAGTCGATTTAACGAACCTGCTGACACAAAGATGTGCACCATTGACATCATAAACATACCACACAAATTTAAGACCAACAACACGACTAAAGTAAGACCGGAAATATCCCCACACCAGTTGGTATCTGACAAGACGATAGTCTTAGCCCATTTTTGTTCGACTTATTAATGGATGAAATAATCGAGGAAGCGATAACTTTGTTACAAAATATGCTGAGACACGAACAAAACTTAGAGCATGTTAAGAGTAGCAGAAATGAAGTCTCTGAGGACAATGTCGTAATGGGGAAGATAGCGTAAAAAAAATTGGCACAACTACGTCCGTAGAATACCAGATAATAGACTGTCGAAAATTGTGCTTACAAATAACCCGCCCAGAATCAGACCACCAGGATACTCTCTATCGAAGAGATGGAGAGACACATTATCAGGAAGAACAGACCCAATGGTTTAGAAAGAGAAGAAGAAGAATGAGAAGTTAACCATTTTTATTAATCATGGTTTTTAATAAAACTCAAATCATAAAATCACCTAATAAAACCTTTCCATGTTCGAAAACTGTACACATCTAGAGGTTGTATAATATCTGCTGTTTTCTTTAAAATAGTAAGTATCTCAACAGCTTTGTCTTCCTCTGAAATAATAAATATTTGTAAAGATTGTGGATGATCTAAAAATAACAAACTCTTTGATCCTGGGACTGGTAAATAAGGATTAAAAATCCAATCTCTGAATTTTGAGCGTTGTTCCGAAGATTATGTATAGACTGATATCTGCATTTACTCTTCTAACGCCCATTCCCATAAGTCTACAACGATCTACTAATTTCCTTTCAGTAAAATCATATTTTGTACGATAATCCTTTTTTTCTAGTTGCTATTTTAGACCATCACTTCTCGTTGCTGGTTCACATCTATCTGTACAATTTTTACACTATATGTCACAAAACCAATTTCGTTCCTTTATTTCTAATTTTGTAATTTTTAATTCTTCGCAATATTTCGAGCATCTTTTAGGATTATTGCGGTGTCATGTTTCTCCATAGTTCTTAGAACAATTTTCTCTCTTACACTCCTTTGTTTGATTTTCCAAATCATTATTTCACATCTGTGTTCGCGTGACACTTCATTGTTTATGCATTCATTTACGCTTGGAGAATTCTTTTGACGTGGCCAACTTTAGTTACCCCAATTTCCTTTTAATCTCTTCGAGCCAAAGTCAAAAGTTCTCGTCCCCTGATGTCATTCTAAATAAAACTATCAAAGTATTCAGAAAGTTCAAGTTCAAAATTCCATCGTACCGCAAGAATCCACATATGCTGCTGGTTACTTGGTGTTTTATGGCGAATCGAAATACTTTTACTCCTAAATTTTATCCTAAAAATACTTTTTCGTTGTTGCTAAAGACAAAATTGAGAAACTGTTTATGCAGAAATATCATCAAATCCTACAAATTTATGTAAAATTCAGCCGGTAAGACATAACTTGATGAAGGAAACGTTTCATTGCTAATGCATCCTGAACTTGTCATACAAATCGAATTCAAATTGTAAACGAAGTCGCTTGC